GGGAGTTCATAACCCACTTCAATCTAATGTATGAAATATGATATGTCAAGAGCTTTGTAATGTTGTGAACAACCAATAAAAAAAAACATAAAAAAAATATATATAAAGGGCTGGAGATGTAGCTCAGTGGTAAAGTGTCCCTGGGTATAATCCCCAGTATAAAAAAAAAAAGAAAAATAGGATTACATTTGCTATCATTTCTTCACAATTTAATTCTATAATCATTTTCGGAATGTTCTATTTAGGCACTTTGTTCAGTGAGCAACAGAGGACACTCTACTCAATGAATTACATTGATAAGTGCTGGGAGATTTACATAGCTTATTGCACACCAAATGTAGCTCCACCCAATGAGCTTACAATGAAGATGAGACACTTCCTCTGGATGTTGAGAGTAAGTTTAATACCACATAGGTTTGAAATTGGCTTTAACTGGTCCTGGCATGGTAGCACACCACTGTAAATCCCAGCGACTTGGGAGGCTCAGGCAGGAGGTCACAAATTCAGGGCCACTGTGGGCACCTCAGCAAGACCCTGTCTAATAAAAATAAAATAAAAATTTAAAAAGGGCTGGGAATATAGCTCAGTGATAGAGTGCCTCTGAGTTAAATCCCCAGTACCACAAGGAAAAATAAAGTCTCTGAAGTTGGTTTTCTATTAATAGGTATTTTTATATTAATTAAAGAAAAGGTATTCTAGGTGTGATATGTAATGAGGTAAAGATTTGGAATGGATTTTCATGGTCACTGAATGTTTACTGAGTCCCCTTTGGCAGAAGAGAGTCATATAAAGGGTCTGTGATGGTGGGAAGCCCAGATACAGGGACGGTACCACAGGTGAAGGGAGGGAACGGCCTGGGTGACAGCACCTTTACTCCAGCAGTCCTGCCTTTCAAGGAAGACAGGAGGAGGACTTGTTCATGTGGGGCGCCGTGCCATGGCCTGTGGTCCCAGGTACTTGGGAGGTGGAAGCAGTGTGGGCAACAGCGAGTCCTGTCTCAAAAAGATAAAAAAAGAATACTCATCAGAAAAGTGATTTTTAAAAGTTAATTTGAAAAAAAGTGAGACTTTATTTATGCAATGTTCTTATACTAATGGTAGTTTTGTTCCACGATACTTGAAATTTTGAGAATGCAAATGATGGGAAAATTGAACACTAATGATAGAGTACTTAACATTTTTAAAGTGCTATGCATTATGAAAAACTGACAATTAGTGTCTTATTGTAGGAAAATAATTTTTAAGGGTATATGATTTGGGGGCTAGAATATTATATACCTGTTTGTCTACCTTCCCCTTTCTTCATGGTCATTTATTATTGAAGAAACTTGGTCATCTGTCCCTGCAGACTAAGTCAGACATCCTGGTTTTTGTGGTAGAGGGGGTTCCATGGGACCCAAGTGACAATGGGGCTCAAGTGATTCCCAGGTGATCCATGGGGATCTGCAGCCATCTGCCCTCATGCTCCCACATGAAGGATTTCAGAGGGGGGACTCACAGAGCGGCAAGCATGGGTTCATCAGGACTCACAGAGCGGCAAGCAAGGGTTCATACTCCTGGCAAAGGCACTGTGGACTGTCTCTGAAGAGAATGGTGTGGCTCTTAGAGGTGGCATCTGACATCTTCTTCTTTTCCCCACACTCTCATGATAGTGGCTGGATTAGGGGATTGATGAGATTCAGGTTTTTATTTTGTGACCAAGTCACAGGTGGTATGTGTCCTTCCTGTTACATCCCATCAAGAGTGATTCCTTGTAGTGATGCTGTGATTGATCATTGGGTCATACAGTGTCAGCGTGATCGTCTATTATGTTTCCCATAAACCCTGTCTAGGGGCTTTGCAGCCCCCAGTGGTCATTACTAATGTCCATTAGTTCACAAGAGACTATACAATGGCAATTTTCCAAATCTGTCATTTCTTGTACGTTCATTAGCTGTGAGTCTTCAAGAACTTACTTTATTGATTGAGTACTCTTGAGATATAATCCATACAGGAAGGGAGGGAGAAATGGTTGATTTTTTTCCTTGGTTAATTTTCAGAATAATGAATTAGTATTCTAGCAATTCAGGGTTTTTTATTTTAATATGGACATAATATCTCTTATCCCACTGAAGACATGATTTGAAGAGGGGAGGCTTAATGGTTTTTCTCTGTTCTTACAGAATACCTCTGTTCCCTCCAAATGTTGTTTTTTGTCTGTCTGGTTTGGTTCCTTGGTGTTTACAGTAAGCCTTTCCCTCAGATGTGTCGTGAACCTTGGCTGTCACACACATGTAAGACTGCAGCGCTCTAAAGCTATTAGGTGGCATTTGTCAAAGAATAGGTTTCACTGTAGAGGGATCAGCCAGGAACCTGCCTTGCTGCAAACTGTGAGTGCTGATGGAGCTTTTCTCTTGGGGTTTTCCAAAAGATGTCTCCTGACTCCTGCGTGGGACACAGATGCCTGATTATCACAGGCCTTAGGACAGAGTGAAGGGCAGAACTGGGTGTGGGAGAAGGGCCTTATCAAGACCCATTTCATTTAATCTATCTTTTCAGCAAAGCACTGTGACTCGAGGGAAGCCAAGTGTTTTCTGCCCAAATTCTCTCTGATCCAGTTTTTATGGAGAGAAAACCTTCAGTGTAGAGAGGGGACCAGCCACACTCGACTTCCTGAGCTGGGCTGCTGTGGCACCTCTCTTTCCCAAGCTGCACACTGGCCTCTCCCGCCCTGAGCGCCTTTGCCTTGTTTGCCAGGGCCAGCAGCTCAGCTCGCCCAGCCCATGGAACATGTTGATATTTTAAACTTCCATTTTGTCTCTCCTGTGTCTGGGTGAAAAAATCATACTTTGTTGTTTTAGAGAGATTAGAAAAGGGGTAGAGAGGCAAATACTAATGGTAGTCCAGAATGCATTTCACAATGATAGTTTTTAAGATATTGATTTCTGGCATATTTTCTTAAAGTGTTATATAACACTAGGATGTGCATGACATTAAAATATATACGTGTTTATAATTAATTATGCACAGTTATGATGTGGTTGGTTTTTGCTTTTATAGGACTTTAGGATGATAAATAAAGAATTAACTGCAACCAAATTTGTGGCAGTAATAGCAGAGGACAATCCTTTCATACATGATGGGGTCGACAGCAACTTAGAACTTGAGGTTTGTAAAGATGTGTCACAAATGGTGCTTGTTCTGCCTTGGACACCAAGAACCAAGATCTGATTGAAAGAATCTGAACCCAAATATATGAAACTGTGTGTCTGTGTGTATATACATATACATATACATTTTTTTAATATTTATTTTTTTAGTTATAGGTGGACACAATATGTTTATTTTATTTTTATGTGGTGCTGGGGATCGAACCCAGTTCCTTACTCATGGCAGGCGAATGCCCTACCTATGAGCCACAATCCCAACCCACATATACATTTTTGATTGTTAGAATAATAGAGATTAATATTAGAAAGAATGATATTTCAATGTCAGAAAAATGAATAAGAAATGAACACCCAAATCAATCTCTGGTCTGCTTCTAGGTGTGTCAGAATGAGTGACATCCCTATGTTTTCTTCTGTTTCAGCTGGTTTTCCTGGAATTCTTTGAAGCTCTCTTATGCTTTGCAGTCAGCTATGTTCCTGACCAAATTAATAAATCCTGTTTACATGCTCAATATGATGATCTGTTTGGAAACAAAATTGGAAGTATTCAAATGGTAATGAGTCAGGTAACATAATCTTAGAATTTACAAACAAGGAATGGTTTTATTCTGGAATGGCTAAACCTCCATCAAAACTATCTTGGGGGACTGGGCTGTGGCTTGCCTAGCATGTGTGAGACACTGGGTTCAATCCTTAGCATCACATAAAAATAAATAAATATAATAAAGGTATTGTGTCCATCTACAACTAAAAAAAAATCAAAAAATAAAACTATCTTGGGCATTTGAACCTTTCTAGGAAATAATTTAAAACTTAAAATTTATGCCTTTTCACGTTTTGAAAGGTGTATATTGCTTTGTTTTGCTTTTTTAAGTTAGGGAAAATGTATTTCCTGGAAATGGTCAAGGAAGGAGACTCCTCGCCACAGCAGTGAAAGTATCATAATGGAAGCCAGCATGCATACTGATTAGATAACATTGGGAAATATGATGTCATTATCAGTCATGTGTATGTAGTGTTTAAAAGAGCAGAAAGCTTGTGCCAGAGCAAAGGTATCAAGGGACATAAAAATATGAGTACACAAAAGATGCTAAACAGGTCCCCGAGGATAGTTGGAGGCCAGAAGACAGTGGGCTGATATATTCAAAACATTAAAATAAAAATCTGCCAACCAAAATTCTTATGTCACTCGCTTTAAAAGTGAGTAAGAAATTAAGAAATTCACAGATAAGCAAAAGTTGAGGTGGGTAAGTAATGATGAGATCTACTCTGCAAGAAATCATAAATGCAGAATGAAATGAAAGGACAAATGGTGTATCAAAGGTCACTACTATTAGATTGCTTAAAAAATAAAAACCTATAAACTGTGTACATTGAAAAATTCTGTGCATCAGACATTATTAGCCTATGGGTAAGGGATGACAGTATTTACAAGCCATATATCCTCTAAGGGGTTACAACACAGGGGCTGGGGTTGTGGCTCAGGGATGGAGCACTTGCCTAGCATGTGCGAGGCACAGGGTTTCATCCTCAGCACCACATAAAAATAAATAAATAAGATAAAGGTATTGTGTCCATCTACAACTTAAAAAAAAGGTTACAACACATATGAAATATACAGAAAACTTCTAAAACTCGATAGCAAAAACAACAACAGCAATAAAACCCACCAGTTAAAAAAAAAAGGGGGCAGAGAACTTGAATATGCATTTCTCCACAGAAGGTATACAAATAGCCAGGTGAGTGGTGCACACCTGTAATCCCAGTGGCTCAGGAAACTAAGGCAGGAGGATTGCAAGTTCAAAGCCATCCTTAGCAACTTAACAAGGTCCTGTCTCAAAAACAAAAAAACAAATAAAATTTTAAAAGGCTGGGGATGTGGCTTAGTGGTTAAGCATCCCTGGCTTCAATCCCTGCTACCAAAAAAAAAAAAAAAAGCCAATAAACACATGAAAAGATGATCAACGTTGCTAATCATTAGTGAAATCCCAGTCAAAACTACAGTAAGATACTGCCTCACACCTAATAGGTGGCCATAAAACAAGTTCAATAGTCAAAAATCTTCAGATTGCCCACCTAGCTAAAGACATTTTTATATCCAGACCAGTGGGGCATGACTCAGTGAGAAAATAACAACACAGATGAATCTCAAAATAATTTATGCTGGGTGAAAGAATCCAGGCAAAAAGGATGGACACTGTGTGATGACATTTATATAAAATTCTGTAAAGTACAAAGCAATGTGTAGTGACAGAAAGCAAAACAGTGGTTGCCTAGTGGGGGAGGAAAGCCAGTTATACCTTGTTAGAAAAACACATGTGAATGTGTGTGCACGTATCTCCCTGGAAGCTGGAAACCCTCTGTGCTTGTCCTTGCTTAGAGCATCCACAACAGGAGTCCAAGTGTAGTCACGAGCCATGAGTCTGACGTCGTTACCTTTAGCAACACCAAGTCATCTTCAAGCAAGTTAGGATTCTTCCCTGATATGAGATTAAGGAAATCAGAGGTTTGTATTTACAGCCCACCATGTCACATTGACACAGCTGTGGCTGGCAGTGGACAGAACACCTGTCTTACAAGCACTCACCTGCTGATGAGGATAGGGAGATTCTAGCAAGCAAATGGCAGCAGCTCATGCTTATGGGGGCCTTGCCAGATGCCAAGCACTTCCCAGGTGTCGGCTCACTTAATGCCCCAAATGACCTTAAGGTCCTCTTACCTCCCGGAGAGGACTGTGGCACTGAAAGATTATGTCCATGATCTCGTAACCAGTGAATGGTGGAACTGGGTTTGTACCGTGCAGCCTGTCCCCAGAATGTGCGTCTATCACCACAAGCCTTCTTCATACTGATGAGGTCTAAGTGGTGGAACTGGGTTTGTACCGTGCAGCCTGTCCCCAGAATGTGCGTCTATCACCACAAGCCTTCTTCACACTGATGAGGCTGGGGCAGGAGGATTGCAAATTCAAAGCTCGCCTCAGCAAAAGTGAGGAGCTAAGCAACTCAGTGAGACCCTGTCTCTAAATAAAATATAAAATAGAGCTAGGATGGGGCTCAGTGGTTGAGTGCCCCTGCATTCAATCCCTGGTATCTCCATCCTCCAAAAAAGGTCAAATTTAGCTGAGAATGGCCTTATTAGGAATTTTATAATTAATTATGATGTAGAAAACTAGTTTTATAGTCCATGATGATGCTGAAGTAATATTTTACTTTGTTGTTGTTGTTTTAATGGAAAAGCCCAAGATCAAGAAGTCTCTAAGTGATGACAAATGTTCCAAAATGAATTTTAAACCTTCAGGAAAAGGGCTGGCCTTCTTATCCCAGAATGGTGAGTATTTTAACTGGAGAACATTTAAAAAATATATTTTTAGTTATAGAGGACACAATATCTTTATTTTGTTTATTTATTTTTATGTGGTGCTGAGGATCGAAACCAGGGCCTCACATGTGTGAGGCAAGCACTCCATCACTGAGCCACACCCCCAGCCCTTAACTGGAGAACTTTCAAACTTATAAAATGCTGCTAATTAGTTACATCCAGTCTGCTAAACTTTACAAGTTTCTCTCTTATATAAGGAGGCTGATAAGCCGCTCCCAGCCCTCCTACCAGGGCCATGGGCATTCCCTCTCCAAGCAGGACCAGGACTAAACAGCTGGATGGCCTCACCTGGGCCCTGCCTGGGCTATATCCCCAGTCACCTGTTTTTGCTCAAGAGTCTCATCTTCCCTGTTTTTTTGAGGCCTGGTCTGTGTGCCTGCCTGCTCTCATGGGCCTCCTTTCTGGTTTCCCTAGGGAAGCACCTCTGGGCTCTCCCCCTGCTGACTGCACTTCCTCACTTCCTGCCCATCGCTTCCAACCTCATCCCTGTCCTCACTAGGACCCCCCAGGGCCTGGATCTTAGCACAATTGATGGGGACTTTCTGCCTCATCTCACAGGTGCTTTCAGCAGCTCTGGCCTAGGTTCCTGTGGTCAGCTACCCACCAAATGGTGACTTCTTCAAGGCTCTGTCCTGGGCTGCCTCCTCCTGGAGCACCTGTTGTGCAGGGACTGTCTCTTCCTGGCACTCACTCTCTCTCTAGTTGGTCTTGCTCATGAGCATGGCAGTCACTGCAACATGTAGAGAAGGAGATCACTGTCATCCCGCCTGCTCTCCACAGCCTCTCGCTTTCTCTGCTCCCTTCACTGAGGAAAGGTTGCATCCGGCTTCTCTGCCTGCCGGCCTGTGTCTCCCGTGGCTCATCCCAAATGAGTGCTTGCTCTCCCTACACCCAACACTCCCCTTCCTCACCAGTGACTTTGCGCTGTCGCCCTGTAACCCTGCCCTCCTGTGAACTGCTTTCTCAGGAAACCCTCTTCCCCTGGCTTCCTTATACAACCCTCATTCCATGTTTTCCTCTCCTCTGGGGCTAATCTGCAAGGCTGTGCAGTTTTTCTCCTGTGGTGGGTCAGCATCCTAGCAGAGAGCCAGTCTCATGACTGTCCCCAAAGCTATCCTCAAGACGTACAGTTCCTATGAAAGCAACACAACTACAAAAGAAACCTGTTACTGTATTTCACCAATGATGTTATTAGCTGGTGATTCATTTTTAGTTTTAGCTATACCTTGATCTTGCCCTGGATCTTTCTGGTTGTTCCTTTAACAATGATTGAGCACCTACTGTTTGCTAGCCATTGTGCCCATGGCTACTATTTTGTCAGCTGCCAAGACTTTTCCCTCCACTCATGTGGCATCTTTTCTCAAATCCCATTTCATCTGATTTTTGCATGCAGGTGGCTGTGACTTACTGTCTTTCAGCTAGGAGGTGTCTATGACAACAAACATAAGAATTAATCTTCCTTCATATCCAGTCTTGTTCTGACCTGGACTGCATATAATTATGATTCTCTGATTTTAAAATATGCCAAGTGATTAGAAAATCAACACCACTTAAAAGGATGGGGAAATTAGAAATTATACCAATTAGCCTAGATAAGAAGGGTAGAAAGTGGGATATCTCTTTTGAGAATAATCATAGTTCTCTAGAAGAGAGAATTCCCTGAGGCACATAGCTCTCTTGTCTTAATGGTGATTAAGACTAAGCAGATTACAGACAGATGTTATCAAATATGTTGTCCCTGATATCTAAATAGTTTACTATAGCCTCTCTGAGGCTGAAGGGTGGCACCAAAGGTTCTTCTTGTGACTCCACCCTGCCTGTGTGGTCCCAGTCATCTTATGAAGGCCCATAGGGTTGTGTTTTGGGTTCTCTGATCTTCCTTATGTGCCTAACACATCTAAGGACATAACAATGATTGACAAAGCTAGTCTGGAAGGCTTTAATTTCAAGGTGACTAATTTGAAAAGTGCTATTTAGCTGGGGGCACTGGTGCATGCCAGTGGCCCAGGAGGCTGAAGGAGGAGGATCACAAGTTCAAAGACAGCCTCAGCAAATTAGTGAGACCCTATCTCCAAAAAAAAAGGGTGGGGGGCTGGGTATGTGGCTCAGTAGTTAAGCACCCCAGGTTCAATCCCTGGTACTAAAGAAAGAAAAATCCCATTTATTTTGGCAAAAGATATCAAGTGATTCCTGAACCATAAAATAATTCCACAAACATAAAACTTATTAAATTGTAGCCCAAAATGTGATGTCTGATGTAAATGCAGGGCCTGGAATACATATAGAAGCAGTGATAGATGTCAAAGAAGATAATGGATTGCCACACATTGATGAAGAAGATGATGCTCTTAGTAAAGGACCAGGTATGTTGATTTTAAATGTAAAATATCATCTAGCCACTTGAAAATTTAAAGCAAAAAATCAAAGAACAAAATCCACCAAAGGGGCTGGGGTTGTGGCTCAGGGGTAGAGCACTTTCCTGGCATGTGTGAGGCACTGGGTTCGATTCTCAGCACCACATATAAATAAGTAAACAAAATAAAGGTCCATCAACAATTAAAAATTATTAAAAAAAAATCCACCAAAAACGAAGACCACCATTATTTTATATAATTTATAAAGAAAATCAAATCGTGGGACTCGGGTTGTGGCCCAGTGGTAACGCGCTTGCCTAGCATGCATGAGGCACTGGGTTTGATTCTCAGCACCACATACCAATAAATAAAATAAAGGTCCATCAACAACTAAAAAAATATTTTAAAAAAAAATCAAATTGCATTTTTTTTTGGTACTGTGATAGAACCCAGGTGTGATAAGGTATTAACATGAAAGTCAAAATTTGAGGAGAAAGGGATAAATCACTAGCTACACAACTTGAGTGACCCCAGAATGCAAAAATGGATGCAAGAGGAAAAGAACAGATATAAGAGACAGAAGCAATCAGAGCATCTTCCAGACCTGAGAATGTGAGGATCCAGATCTCCCAGCAGGAACTCTGTAAGCCTGGCAGAGCCGCCTGGGGGAGAGCATGTGTGTGCTCCAGGGGACCAGGGAGCTCCAGGGCTCAGGTGAGGGCTTCGGAGCCCCAGGAACTCACCACCCAAACTCCCTTCAGGAAAACCCGGGCCCGAGGAGACAGTGCTGGGTAGAACTCAAACTGAGAATCCTGGAGCAGAAGGGCAAAGAAGGATCCAATGAAAAGGAATTGGGAAGTCACTGAAAGAACAGAAGGGGAAGTTCTAGAATCCTGAGGCTAGAAAAACTGTTGTGCATCATCCACCTAAGTCCTAAAGTTCAGATACCTACTTTTCTTTCTTTAAAAAAAAAAAAAATCCACAAGAGAGGATAGTCTTTTTTTTTTTTTTAAAGAGAAAGAGAGAGAGAGAGAATTTTTTAATATTTATTTTTTAGTTTTCGGCGGATACAACATCTTTGTTTGTATGTGGTGCTGAGGATAGAAACCTGGACCGCACGCATGCCAGGCGAGCACGCTACCGCTTGAGCCACATCCCCAGCCCCAAGAGGATAGTCTTTTTAAAATATGTGTGTGTGTGTGTGTGTGTGTGTTTTAGCTGTTGATGGATCTTTATTTTTGATTTATTTGTATGTGGTGCTGAGAATTGAACCCAGGACCTCACACATGCTAGGCAAGCATCTACCACTGAGCCACAACCCCAGCCCCTAGATACCTACTTTTCTGAAGGTAGAAAAAGAATAGGGTGTGGTTTCGTCTAAAATGAAATTATTACCAAAAAAAATTACAAAAAAAATAATTTCATTTTTTTTCTTGTAAATTATTACAAGAAAAAAAATGAAATTATTACAAGAAAAGAAATTATTACAAGAAAAAAAAAATACTGCCACGGAGAACCAAAGCCTGAAAGAAGCCTGAAAAAGAGATGAAAACTGTCACAAATATTGTAACATGAGCCCAAATAAATTGAGAATGTGATAGAAGAGATGACAGGATAACTAATCAGAATTAGAAAACCTCAGTTGAGAAAACAGCTCAAGAAAAAATTTAGAAATAAAAGAAAAACATTCTTAAAAGATCAAACTAGAAGGAAAAAAGTAAACAAAAAGACTGCATTAAGAGAAATAGAAAGGGAAAAGGAGAATTCTAAGACTTCAAGAAAACATATAAAAGGTAGGCAAATAAGTCCTAGTGTCACAGGACTCCCTACAAGAACACAAAATCAATAGATTAAATATGAAAATTATACTTCCTGAACATTTTCTCAAAATGAAAAGTCAGGACTGATATGTTCAAAGGACATCTGTAAACCTGACTCAGGATAATTAAAAAATCCTTGTGGGGAGGGCAGGACAGGGGGAGAGAGAGAGAGAGAGGCAGGCAAATGAGCAAACCCAAGGACATCCGGCAAAGGGAGCAAGTGAGACATAAACAAGATGGGGGGGGCCTCTGTACATGTTGGTGGGAATGTCTAGCCATTGCAGAAGACTGTATAGAGGTTCCTCAAAAAGCTGAAAATAGGGGTTGGGGTGTAGCTCAGTGGTAGAGCGCTTGCCTAGCTCCTGTGAGGCACTGGGTTTGATTCTCAGCACAACATAAATAAAATAAAATAAAGGTATTATGGCCATCTACAACTTAAAAAAAAAAAAAGCTAAAAGAATTAACATTGTGTTAGCTTTTGGTCACTTGACAAAACCTGAGAACAACAACAAGAGGAAAGATTTGCTTTGGCTCATGGTTTCAGAGGCTCTGGTCTATGGGTGGCTGGCTCTATTGCTTAAGCTTGAGGTGAGGCAGAACATCATGGCAGAAAGGCTTGGTGCAGGAATTCTGGCCACTTCATGGCAGCTGGGAGGAAGAAGGGGTGGGAGACAAAGATATAGTCCCTAAGGACCCACTCCCTCCAACCAGGCCCCACCTCCTACAGTTTCCACTACTTCCCATTAGTCCACTCAGTTAGAAATCCCTCAATGGATTAACTCATTGATGAGGTCAGAGCTCTCATAAGCCCCCTCTGAACATTGCCCACTGGGGACTGAACCTTCAACACATTAAGCCTTTGGGAGACATTCCAGATTCAAACCATAACAATACCACCTCGAGCTATATAGATAAAGGATTTGAAATGATGATGTTGGAAGAGACATGCACTTCCATGTCCATCACAGCACTGTTCACAAAAGCCAAGATATGGAATCAACCTACATGTCCATCAATGGATGAGTAGATAAGTAAAATATGATATACACATGGAATACTATTCAGCCTTAAAAAGGAAATTCTGTCATTGGTGACAATATGGATGAACCTGGAGGATGATGTGCTAAATGAAATAGGCAAGGCACAGAAAGCCAAGGCACAACCTAGATCAACTGAACTCAGAAGCCGAGAGTGGAATGGTGATTATCAAGGATTGGGAGTAGTGACTATAGTTAATAATGTATTTCAAAATTTCTGTGAGTAAACTTCAAATGTTCTTACCATGAAAGTGTATATTTGAGGTGATAGGTATGTTAATTAGCTTGATTAAGCATTCTACATTGTATATTTATATCTCATAAGTATATATATTAAAATTTGTCAATTTACAATTTTAGTACCCCAAAGTACTGAACTTTACAGACCTTATAAAAATATTGAATAAATGGAAACATTACCTACCTGGTAAGACTTGGTGTTGTAGCAATGTAGATTCTCCCCAAAATAACTTAGAGACTTAACTGCAATTCCAGCTAATTCTAATCCCAAATGTCTTACAAATTTGACAAAATAATCCTGGAAAAATAATGGACAGAAACATAATATTAAAAAGAAAACCAAGAGGATAATTTAGTTCTATTTATTAAAATATACTAAAAATGTAAAGCTACAGTAAGTAAACTGATTCTGCAAAAAAAAAAATAGGCTGATTATTATAAACACAGATGGGCATTCAGTACATAGTAGCTATTCCTCCTTGGTAGGGGAAAGATGGACTATCTAATAAATGCAGCTGAAATTGGCTAAATTTAGGGGAAATATTTGGGTGGATTAAAGAGGTAAATGTAAAGACTGGAACCATAAAATTGAGAGCATATACAAGTGTATGTTATATTCTTAGTGTTGATAAGGGCTTAAGTATAAAAACTAAGGTAAAATACAGAGAAAATACTGATAGAAATCAAAACCAGTTTTTGGCAAAAGAAGCCAAGAACAAAATGAAAAATCAAAGAGAAAATATTAAGGGAATATCCTTAAAATAAGAAAAAAAATAGGAAAAAGCCACTCTTCAAAAAACATAAGTGATCCATAAACATATAAAAAGAACTTTACTGATATTAAGAAAATGCAAATTAAAACAATAAAGTGCTATCAAAAGTAAATGGTGCTTATGGCAGTGGTTTAAGGGAAAAATAGTTTCATGCACTGAAAGTGGGGTGGATGATAAAATGGCTCTTTCTAAATCTTTCTAAAAGGCAGTCTGGAAACACGCACCAAGGGTCAAAACTCGAGCATTCTGTTTCACCCAGCAACTCTGCTTCTGGGGATTTACCCCGGGAATGTTCAGAGGTGTGGGCAAAGCTGTATGGATGAGGGTGTTCACTGCAGCATTGCTCAGAAAACGGAAAAGCTCTAGGCTGAGTAGAGTATGGCACAGCTCCTATAGTTTCCATGCACATCACAATGATTTATAGCCATTAAAACTCTTTCAGAATACAGTGCTGAGAGAAAAACAGGACACATGACCCCATATTTGTTATCTATATTCTCTGATAATTACTAGTAGGATGTACACTAGAATGTCATTAGCTTATTAATTCCTAGGTTTTCAATTCTGTGAATATTTCAATGAAATTGACACAGGTGCATTAAAATCGGTTAGAAATCATAATCTAGAGATTATGTGTATATACATATTAAAATTATAATCACGTCCACATATATTCCTACTACATGTATGTATTATATTCCTACTGCTAGACTTTTTTTGGGGGGGGATACCAGGGATTGAACTCAGGGGCACTTGACTGCTGAGCCACATCCCCAGCCCTATTTTGTATCTTATTTAGAGACAGGGCCTGAGTTGTTTAGCACCTCACTTTGAACTTGAGGTCCTCCTCCTCAGCTTCCTGAGCTGCTGGGATTACAGGCATGCGCCATGGTGCCCAGCCTACTGTTATGTTCTTTTGTAACTATATAATTACATATTGTATACTAAGGTTTTATAGGTGTTCCACATCTAGGACCATGGGACAAAATGGGTTCATGTTTTGGTTACGCTAGAGGTACATATTTTTGTTGTTTCTTACAGCTCTTGGAACAGGGTCTGCTATATAATTGGTTCCCAGTATACGTTTTTTAACAAATCTAGTATTTTTTGCAATGAGCAAGCTTGACATCAATAGTTAAGAATTTTACTCAATGAACTATCTTTTATAAGACTTAAATTTCCTGCAAATCTATCAGTCCATTCCATCCTACCTGCTCCCTCGGGTTATAACACTGGTCCTTTGGGTCCATGGGTAATACCCATGACAGGCATTACCGTGTACTTCCTGTGTGTGTGGTGCTTAGCTTGCAAGCTAATGCATCGGATTTTCACAATACCTGTGAAGCAGGTAATAGTACGGTGCCCCTTTTGCAAATGAGGAAACTGGCACAGAGAGTGTTCACTGGCCAAGGTTGTGCCGCGAGTACGTGGCACAGAGGGGCCTTGAGCCTAACTCATATGGCCCTAGTCTGTGCTGTACAGTGCTGCTTCAGAGCAGAGGCTGTGTAAGAACCTTGACAGGTTAGGGCTTGTTTTCTTGACTTCCTACCTCATTCCTCCATGCACAACTCTTACCCAAGCGTGAGGCCTGCCGCAGGTTATGTGAGTGTTCTCCAGCCAGGGGTCCTTGTGGGAAGCACACACAGATCTCCATTAGTCTCTAAAATCTGGCACTGGGATCATGGATCTTCCTGATGTCCTTGCACTTGGAGCATACCACAGTGGCTCCTGGACTGGGAGGCTGGTTGGTGGGGTGGACTGGTCACACTCTCTTCCCACAGCACCTATTCCAACACCACTGCCCATCCCCATCCTCCAGAGAGGAGTAGCCAGAACTCAAGACAAGAGTCTCCTTACCTTTGTTATTCAACAGAGATTTAAATCTCTGAAGACAAGAGCCAGGAGGGTTCCCCATGGAAATATGGAAAACATCAACTATTGAGGAGAAAACAACAGGTACCAGGAGGTTCAAAGGCAGTGCTGACAAGCAGCCAGGGTCTGCAGAGAACTTGCTTTGTCCCAGGTGGTCACTGAAGCATTCTGTAGTTTCCTCGCCCCCCTCTGACAGGATGAGGACACAGAGGCCATCACAGGAAAGGGCAGAATTAGAGTAAGAGACTCCAGACTGCAGGATTGTATTAATGCTCATTTTAATTAAACTTTATTCCAGAGAAAAATGAAAAACCCAAGAATGACCAGAAGGAGAAGCTCAACACGTGGGTCAATAACATGTACGTCTTCTTTGTGAACACGCTCTTCCAGGCATACAAGCACGAGGAGCTGCTCAAGGAAAAAGTAAAGGAAAACCGGTTGCAGGATGCAGCCATAGCTCAACAGAAGAAGATGGAGAGTGAAGAGCTGGAAGCAAGGTATGGCAGGGCCCCGGCCCTCCTCTGGCACGAACTCAGCATTCTTCCCCATCCTTTGTAGCTACCTGGAGCATCAGGAGCACATGCTTGCACTGCCAAGTTCACGACGACCCAAGGTTGTCCAGAGCATAAAAAAAATATCTGGCCTCTGTTCTTGCCGGTTCCAAAGGCTTTGTGGCTTCCAGAGGGCTGGGAGCATCTTTTGTTTATATAGAGGAGCTAGCATCTGCTCATGACCCCAGGACCTACCAGATCCCAGCATCTCTGAAGGCACGTTTTTATATATTAATGAGATGACTGTGGCTAGGGCCCTGGATAACTTCACTTGGGGGACGTTGCCCAAGAAACCACCTGTGACTGGAGAACTTCCAGCTTCACCCTTGTCTCTGGGCAGGTGAGGAGGCTGGAGACTGAGTTCTGTTAGTCTTGCCTACATAACAGAACCTCTACAGAAACACCAAATCATAGGTGGGATTTAGTTTCTGGGGCTGGACATATCTATGTGATGGGAAGGTAAGTTTGCAGGGACAGAAGTTCTTGGGACTCTTCTGGACTTGACCGTACATCCCTCTTCATCTGGCTGTTCGGCTGTTCATTTTTATTCCTTTTTTCTTCTTTTGCAGTCCTGGGGATTGAACCCAGGTGTACTCTCCCATGGAGCTACACCCCTAGCCCTTTTCTATTTTTTGAGACAAGGTCTCCGTTAGTTACCCAGGTGGGCCTAGAATTTGTGATCCTCTCACCTCAGCCTTTGGTGTAAAGTTGGAATTACGGTTGAGCACCACTGCTCTCTGCTGTTCATTTTATTCTTTGTAATATCTCTTAAAGTAAACCAGTAAATGTAAGCAAAGTTTTTTGCTAGAGGTCTGTGAGCTATTCTAGCATATTATAGAACCTGAAGGGGGCGTTGTGGGCACTTTTGATTCATAGCTGGTTAGTCAGAGGTATCTGAGTCCTGAACTTGTGACTGGCATCTGGATGGGGGTGGCCTTGTGGGACTGAACTCCCGTCACTTGTGAGGTTTGTGCTAATGTGAGTAGATGGTGTAAGAATTTTATATCAGTGGTGTTGGACAGTTGGTGAGGTGAAGAGAAAATATGGTGTCAGAAGTGTCAAGGGGTGTCCCCACCTGGTTTGGGGGGGCTTGGGGCTCACTGTGGGCTGCTTGTTTTCCTCGGTGTCTAAGTGGAACTGACACCTGTGTGAGAGGCAACAGGAAGCCATGGTTCAGACCCTTGCCCCTGCCCCGGGCTCTGTGCACAACTCCAAGCCTCCTGTCCTCATCTGTCAGGTGGGGTCATGGTAAAGCCTCACAGGACCGCTGGGGCCAGGAAGACAGCTGAAGGCCAGGAGTCCAGGAAGCAGGACGAGATACTGCACTCACCGCAGCATCACTGCTGAGGCTCAGCTCTGCATGGTCCTTTAGCAGTGCAGACACCTGCCCTTGGTGACGTGTGTCTCCGCTCACTAGAGAAAGCATTGCTGTATGCTAGAGGGCAGGAACATATGAGGACTGTCACAAGGTCACCCAGAGAAAAGAGGTTGACACCTCATGTCAGATCCATAGCATTCTATCTGGGCTGTCTAGCTATGGCTTTACTTATTACCAACTCTGGCAAGTTGATGGCAGTTTAGTTTTGGTCACAGGCACTGATGAAAAACAGATATGGACAACTTTACTTGATACACAGAATAAGAACTATTGGGTATGGTGGCTCATGCTTGTAATCCCAGTGGTTCAGGAAGCTGAGGCAGGAGGATAGCAAGTTCAAAACCAGCCTCAGCAACTTAGTGAGGCCCCAAGCAACTCAGCAAGACCCTGTCTCAAAGTAAAATAAAAAAGGGTTGGGGATGTGGCTCAGTGGGTAAGCCCCCTGGATTCAATCCCCAATACCAAAATAAATAAATAAATAAATTTCAAAGGAAAAAAATCTACCTTCCTGTGTTTGCTTTTTTAGGCTTAATATCTTAAGGGAGGAAGAGGCCAAGAAACAAGATACTGAGATGGACATCCCTGTGATCAAGGAGCCAGGGGACGCCCTGTCCTCGGCCCTCACACAAAGCCCTCCCAAAGAGGACACAGCTATGTCCCAGGCCAGCAAGTCCACCCCGAGCAAGAAGAAGAGGAAGTAAAGGCACGTACTGTTGAGGGTGGACTGCAAGGACACAGAGCAGCTCAGGACAGCAGGAACTGTGATAAATGTCCTGCACAATAAAGTTGTTTGCAGTTTACTTCTGCTCTTGGTGTTCTGGAACACTCCTACCTTGACCCCACTGCACCCAGCTTTTTGCAGCTGGATCACTGAAAGGCCTGCATTTTGGAAATTGAGTTGAATGAATATCCAAACACACACACACGCATATTAATGAACATGTTTTAAATACATGTCTAAAAAATCAAAGTAACACCATGATGATGAAATCAGAATCTGATAAAATGAATCAGAAGACAGTGGGGAATGGAAGAAATTATTCAAAACATTTCTTCAGACACTCGTTTCCCACACTAGGTACATTATCTATCCCCAAAACCACCTGGGGTTCTTCAGGTGCCACTTCCTGTGGCTTCTCCCCTGTCCAGTTTCTGCAAATGCCCACAGTTCTCTATCGCATTTGAAAACCACCACACAGTAGTGGGTCCAGGCAGCAGTGAGAGGAGGAGCCAGGAGGAGCAAGGTGTTCAATAGATGGTTGTTCAAAATTTTACAGTTAATAATTTGTATTAAAATTTAAGGGTCACCACCAATCTAAAGCTACCCAAATTAGCAGAAGGAATACAGGAAACCATCAATTTTAACAGAAAGATGGGGAAGAGGAAAGATGGGAAACAGGAAAGTGCTGATGCCCCAACAGCCAAAGGAAACAGACTAAACCCACTCATGCTGCTCCCCCAAACGAGCCCAGAGGTAATTTAATGGCACTGAAAAATAAAAATTCACCTCAACATCACAAGGGAACTATCTTAGAGCCACACAGAAAGAATGAAAATAAAGACACACGCAAAGATACACCAGGCCAATCTGTTCAAGCTGACTGCACTAGCAAGCACTATCACAACCCAAAGGCAGCATCACACCTACACATTAGCCTTGCAAAGCTGAGGGAGCCCCAGGGAGAAGCAACGTCTTGACAGCAGAAAGCAGGAAAACGGGGATCAGATGACCAGAGCAACTAAACTATAAACCCTGAATTAGCACAGAGCTAGGAACCAGAATGCAATAGAGAATAAACACTTGACATACTGACCACTTTTTAGGTTGTGAAGCACAGCAATTCCACATGATGTGTATAGCACATCTGTTGTAGCTGCAAATGACTGCACAGTATGCACACAGCACACCATAAACACAAAAGCCACAATCTGAAGTAACACAAGGGCTATGAGGAAATCGCAATGGATATTGTGAATTATTTAGGACCAAGTGACAAAGTACCGTGAATCAACAAAGCCATTTCCTCCTAACAGGCTCATACACGTTAAATGATAGGGAATATGGGAAGCAAACTTTAGGACTAGTGAAATATCATGTTTTTTGGACCATTTAGCTAGTTTTTACCTAGACCCTGGGCTGACCAGATAATAAAAATCAGCACAACTAAGACTGCTGAATTTCATCTCAACCAAGGAGGACCGAGTTGTGGCTCCCTGGGATGGCTCCTCAGGAGTTCCAAATGACAATGAGGAGTGCTTTCTTTTTTGAACACATTGTGTACTTTTATTAAGCTCTGTGTATTAAATGAGTCTAAAAATCACAATAGTACTCAGGATAAAAGCCAAGTCTAGCCAGGTGTGTGGTACATGCCGTAATCCCAGTGGCTCAAGAAGCTGAGGCAAGAGGATTATAAATTCAAGGCCAGCCTCAGCAACTTGGTGATGGCCTAAGTGACTTAGTGAGACCCTGTCTCAAACAATAAAAAAGACTGGGGGTGTGGCTCAGTGGTAGAGCACCCCTGGGTTCAATCTTCAGTACCAAAAAAAAAAAAAAAAAAGGCAAGTCTAGCAATTATTTTAGGCAAATACATCCTTATTCGGGTTTCACAACTAGGGAAAGGAATCTAGCTGTAAAAGCATCAAATGAGCTTTTAAATCCCCAGGGCACGTCCCAGGAACCACTGGTAATGCTTTCTACAAACTAGCAACAGAAGAGTGCCTCAGCGCAAAACCAGAATTTTAAAAACTTTAACAATTTATTAGTCTTATTTTCCAGTAAAATATTCACATGTCAAAAGAATGGAATGATAGAGATATAGCTAACTACCTTTAAGTAATTCCGCATAAATATTTAAAATCTAAAAACCTCAGGGGATCATCAGACTGAGTAGAAATTTGTTTCTTCAAAGCAAGTATTGCTTTACTATTGTCATTAATCCAGTCAATAATATGACCAATAACTTGCAATGGTAAACAAAGTGTTTGCTGAGTTTCTTAAAAGATGCTTTCCATGAGCCATTATCAGTCAATCCAAGAAGAAGATGTTGTTGAACTGCGTGGCACAAAGTTTCTTTACCTCTTCTGCAAAAAGAACAGAAAACAGTGCATAAGGAATAGGGGTTCTTACTTAAAAGGTTGTATGCTACGTGTTAGTGCCTTAAATTCTTCTGGAATAAAACTGGGAATAAATAAATGTCTGCATTAATTTTGACTTTAAATTCCAGAAGCCCAAACAAAAAGTAATAAACTAAGAAAAAGGGAACAGACTCCACACCTAACAAACCCACGGGACCTCAATACTTCCCAATATACTGAAACACTGCTTCTCTGGGCCTGAAAAAGCTTAAACCCAGGGCAAACAGTACCTGAGACACCCACAGGTTGGGGTTACAACATCCAAGATACAGTCAATTTCAGAATCTGATGCAACAACACAAATACTCTGGTTGCAACCTTGAATTGTAGATCAAGGGCTCCACAGAGGTATCATGATCTTTACTGAATTCTCATTTTAAGTCAGGCTTGTACTAACTGATGTTTTTAATACACAATGAATACAGGTATTAGTACAGAAGAAAAATTTCATAGCCTTAAAAGATATATTTTTAAAAACCTTGCATCTAACTTTCCTGGTAGTTTGTACTGGGGTGTGTTTTCCCCCACCTGCACTGCTGCTTGCCACAGCTCCAGGTGTAAGGCAGAATAGCAGAGAGGCTAGTGAAGGGGACACTGCCCTTTCTACAGGACAGCAGCTGTCAGAACCCCATAGCCAGCTGCTGACTCACTCAGCACAAAGGACCAGACCAACTACTCTGGTTGCAAGGTGGAGATTTCTCATCCTGCCTATGGGTGGAGACAGCTGGGACTATCATATGAATCCAGCAGCTCTGCATATAAAAGATGTGTTTTCATCTTTTTGATAAAAAGAGACATTTTTACACACAATATGTAAAGCCATGGGTTATTTTAGCACTGTAGAAAATAATTTCCTTTTAGTCACGATTAAGCTTGCTGTGTCACAGGACATAGAAACAGAAAATGGAGAAATCTGCCTATAATCTTAATGATCATCATTTGCTCTATATATCATGTTTCCTAATACATTGAAGAGAATTTCCAAATATCAGTAGCATTAAAATTATGGTCAAATACCAAATTCAGTTTACCATTGACTTCGATCAGGTTTGCATTTTTTTGATTCAAAATAACATACAGCTCCCGCTGATCAGACTTTTTCCCAACAACCCAATAATCACTCATGGCTTTCACGATGATTTCTTCATCTTCATCTGCTCTGTAAGGCAAGAGTTTCAGAATATACTATTTTATTATACATTTAGCTACATTGTGGGGAAAAAAAAACATTTCAAAACAAGAAATTGGACACTAAATAGTCACTTAGGAAGTTCAGGAAGGCCCATGTGAATGGACTGGGCTTATGTACCCATTCAGAAGGGGTGCCCATAAAGGTGGTCAGACCTGGCCTCTATGAAGGGGCTTTGGGCTACTCAGTTTTGAAGATGACTCCTTTAATATCCTTTAACAAAGGGATACCTATTTGAGAAGTTGTCAGGATTACCTAGTAAAATCACTGTTGATGTCACCTAGAATCTTCATCAAATCCGGATGAACAGACGTAAGCGACACACTGGGTGTTTTCCTCATGTGAATTGTACTTTTCTCTGCTAAATTCATATGGTTGAAGTAGATAAACTTAAACTGTGGTTCCTTTTCAGATCTGTAAAAACATGTCATTAAGAGAGTAACATTCTGAACATCATACAAACTACACAGCTACATTTAAAAAACCATATGGCAAAAGCCTGGATTTTCAAAGGCTCGGTCTTTAATTCAAGAATCTTAGTTAACATGTAACAGACTCTTCACTCAGTAATCACTTAAATGATATCAAGCATGATGGAATTTACCAGAGAGCTGAAGCTTATTAACTGACTGATTTGAAGTACAGGGGACTGAACTCAGGTCCTCACAAAGGTTTCTACCTCTGAGTTGCATCCCTAGCCATTTTCTAAAATAAAAGTTTTATTTCTATTTTTTATCTTGCTAAGTTGCTAAGGCTGGCCTTGAATTTGTGATCCTCCCACCTCATTCTCTTATATAGCTGGGATTGCAGGCATGTGCCACCATGTTTGGCCTAAAGTTTACCTTTTTTTGTGGGGGGGGGGACAGGGGAGGGTACTGGGGACTGAACACAGGGGTGCTTTATCATGGAGCTGCATTTCCAGCCCTTTTTATTTCGAGACAGTGTCTCACTAAGTTGCTGAGGGTCTTACTAAATTGCTGAGGCTGGACTTGAACTTTTGATCTTCCTACCTCAGTCTCCCAAGTCACTGAAATTACAGGTGTGCACCACTATGCCCATTTAAAGTTTCTTTTTTAAACACTGGAAGTATTTTCTAAGTGAAATCATAGTGCTTTATAAATGGTAATCACTTGGTTATTGCTGACTTTTTAACAAATGCAAATGAAATCCACACAGGCTATTTATCTTCTAGTGGAAGGGTCAGCAAACTACAGGCCTGAAACTAAATCTGGCCATTTTTCTAAATAACAGTTTACTGGAAGGAACACTGAATGCCCATACAAATATTTATGCGTTATCTATGCTACTTTCAAGCTAAAATAATAGTTGAGTAGTTGCAACATATATAGCCCACAACATCTAAAATACTTACTATTTAGCCCTTTATAGAAAGAGTTTGCCAACCTCTGACTCAGGAGAGTAACATCTCATTTATCCCACAGTGATGGGGAATGAAGGAGGCGCTCCATGTGGATT